TAACATCGACTGATATGACATTTTTAATTTGATATAGTTTTGGCCATTCAATGTGTAATTTAAACCATTTCTATCCAAGAACAAATGATTCCTACATTGTTGATACACGCAGCTAATGTTGTCAGTGATGCTTATTTAAATGTGTATTTCCATTCATAAACTGATGCGAAATGTCAAGGCAAGAGGACATGACCATTTAAAAATGCTTTCAGCACTCTTTCCCTGAATAAACTGAAGAAGCCACTGCATGATGCCACATGACTGCTGCTGTTGCGCCACACTAAAAGCTTTTTTCCCCCTTCTCTTTACGGGATCTTCACTACTTTCCGTTCAGCCTGATGATTACAACATCAGAGGAGCGAGAGAACAAACACCCTGCTGCATCTTTCACACAGACAGCTTTGGTTCAAATGCTTGTAAAGTTATTTGAGTATCTCATTTCCTTACTCTCAATCATTTCCATATGCCACTGCAGCACAGGCCGGAGCTCTTTGGGCAGATTGTGGAGTAATATACAAAGACTGAAAAACTAAACATGCATCCACCCCCTCCCAAAGTTTCCTGAAGAGCAGCAGGGATCCAGAGCATGCCAGTGAGCGTGATGTCTGCCAAATCCTGTCCCATTATGGCGTTATGGAAAAAACATTAACGTGAGAAACACTGGAGCCTCGTGTCTCCCAGGGAGAGAGGACTCAGAGTGAAAGATGATGTGTCTCGTACGTGCTGTCCTTCTCAGGGATCTCTTTGATGGCGATGCGTACTTGATTGCTCAGGTCCCTCCCAGCGTAGACCACACCGTACGTCCCTTTACCCAGAACCACCTTGTCCCCGCTCTCATTGGTCTCATAGATGTACTGTAGGATGAGATGAGGACAGTATGAATGAGAGTGCACATGTGGTGCTAGAGAGGAAATGTTACGAGAACATATGTTTCATTCTAATCCCGTATTTTGAGAATTAATACACATTTATAATTTGGTGTATTTATCAATTTGACACAAACAGATACAGTGGACGCCGCCAGGTTATCATATCATTATCGTAAGGAAGGTCTCTGTTACTGAGAATTACATTTTCTCCAGTAATAAGAGTCATTTCTTTCTGTTTGTTGAGGCAAGCGAGTCCTAAAATTGACGCAACCTGCGTCAGAGGACTGAAGGACTGATAAACAGACCTCGAGTATTCCTTCAGTCGGATGATCCAACTGCTGAGCAGAGTCTTCAGCCTGCTGGAGCAGAGAGTTCACCAGCTCGCAGAAACTGGAACAGCGTGAAAGAAGAAGTTAACGAGAGGATGAAAATGTGCTCTCTGTGAAGCATGTGGTTGAATTGTGTTTCAGGGAATACAAGTGAATAAATTAAAGAGAATAACAACTATGTAATTAATACAGTTGACATGCACTGAACTAGCAAATGTCCAAGCGAGTTGTCCCAGAAATCTTCTGGGAACTTTTCTCTGCCAGCCCCTGAGTAAATGTCCTAATGAGCCTGTGTGAGAATACAGCAGGATATTGTCCGGAACCTTCACTGTAAAGACAGTCTGCAAAGCTTGATTACCCATTACTCTGCTGACCTCTGATTATCCTCTGCAACAGATCATTACAGGGTCCAGGCCGCAGGTCTTTATCTGCACAGTCAGTTGGCCAGTAAACAAGTCACTGCCTCTCTCACACACACACATACACACATACACAAAATACACACTCTGTATCTCACCCTTCGCAGTGAAGCTCAGAGGGGAAGCAGAGCTGGAAGTCGTCAGAGTTGTAGTGGACGTACAGGAAGCAGCTCCGCTCGTCAATCTTTGAAGCACTTTAGAGGGAAGAAAGCACATTTTTAATTATTCTAAAATTCTAAGAGGCCAGACAGAAGTTTTTCCACCTGTTGCTCCTAACTGAAGATTTAAGGAGCACCAGCACAGATCTAGACGCACCACTTACATGATGTGTATGCAACGTAATACTTTCATATTTTTTCATATCTTAACTGTTTTACTGATGAATGTTTTGGTGAGTGCTGAGTAAAAACTCAAGTTAAATGGTGCATTTTAAAACTTAAAATTCTAAATGTAAACCTAAGGTGTATGTGGTCCGCTCATTACTGTAATTACAGCACCACGACAACAAAACAAGTAAACAAGGCACCCCCTCTTACAGAATGCCCACCCCCCCCCCTTTTGGAGCACATCCCCCTGAGGACCTGGAACCTCTGAGGCCGACCCTGTTATTTGGGCCTTCTAGCTCTTGTGCCCTGACTGAGCCTCATCTGTTCAGCCTCCTTGGCATCAAAGTCTGGGAGCACACACACATAAATCCTCGCTCTCTCTTGGTATTTCACATGATAAGATGATGATAAAAAAACATGGGGGAAGAATTTTGTCACACGGTCTCTATAAAAATAGTCGCAAAATGCAACAAAATGTTTGCAGTCTGGAGCCCTGGATAGTTTACCCGAATTTACTTAGAAAATACATGGCAGAGTCATCGCATGTATGTGAATGTAATTCTACTAAAAAAGATGCATGCACTGTTTAAAACAGAGCCTCTGCAATCAACCCATTTTCTGCTGCAGGGAACAAATAGCTACTGTTTGAATATCAGCATCAGCTTTAGATAAACAAATGGGGGAGGAACTGATTGATTCAGTAAATGCAGATAAAGATCCAAACAGGGTTTGTCTTTACCGCCAATGATTTGACAATGTAACAAAGTTGTTTGCTTTTTTTTTTTTTAAATGACTAAATGGCGAATGGTGAAAACTGCCCTTGTGTCCAAAGTACAGAGTGACATTAATCAGTGGCCAAAGTGGAACGAACAAAAAGCTGCATGCAAACTGCAGCCTGAAAATCATACTGACAGAACAAAAATCTGACTGACGGCCAAGGTTTCCCAGACAACCCCTATGTTTTGGCTCCTCTGACGCTGCTGTCAGCTTGGACACACCCAGAACTGAGAGCAGATGCTTCACTCCACTTTACCTCACTCCGCGGATTGCAGAGGCTGGGAAAGTCCACTGGTGTAAGCCTTTCTATAGAAAGCAAAAGAACAAAGAAATCATATGCATGACTGCAACTGAAGGAGCAGGTTTTGCATGTATGCACAGAATGAGTGAGCAAACACACTGTCCTGGGGGAAGGAGGATCATCACCTTTTTGACACACGATGACAAACCTACGCTCTTCCTGGATTGAACAGTTCCGGGATCATACATTGGTGTAAGAAAATGTCCTTCTTCCTTGTCCTATTTTGCCTTCAGCGTGTATGCCAGGTAACTCATCAGTTAAGAAGGAGGCATTGGGGGTTGGGGGAGACAGAGGGTCTACATACCTTTAAGGGTGTGACGTGTTTCAACTGGACAGTACGACTTTCATCTTCCTCACTCACGCACACAATAGCTGGTTGCAGGACTTTACTGGGCTCCAGAATCAGCACCTGAAAACCAGCAGGTAATGATTTAAAATCTATTACAAATATTTTAGAATTGGGCAACATGAAGAAGATCGTTCACTGTCCGAAACCTGGTTCGGCCGGGGGTCTCTGTGTGGAGTTTGCATGTTCCCCCCGTGTGTGTAGGGTTTTTTTTTTTCTGGGTACTTTTTTTGTCATCTATTAAATGTGGTCTTACCGGGCAGCGGTCTGTGGAGACCGTGGGTTTACAGGTCTGTAATAGCAGCTCCATCCAGAAGTCCACAGTATCCTGTTTAGGAGCTCTCACCTCCGGCAGTTTGGCAAATTGACGATACAAGATGAACGTCTCCATAATGGATGCCACGTACCTTAAAGGAACACAAAACTCATTAATCCACATTAATTAAATATGGAAATAAGGCTGGAGAAATATTTCTAATCACCGGGTTTTTTAAAAACGTTTTAATCAAAGCAATCAAAATGAAACAGACATGCTCTAATGACTGAATCCTGACGATGATGATTAAACACCCTGATAAGTGCTAATCGAGTACTGTGGTTAGGCCTCACCATATCGGAGCCTTGAGCCTGTAGAGCTTCTCAGAGGCCTCGATGACTTTCCTGTGTTCGTTAACTAAGATGTTGGCTCCGAGGTAGAAGCCGACGTCCCAGTAGTCCCTCATCATCTCCAAGCTCCCCTTCCGACCAAGCAGGTTGCTTAACGTCACACCTAGATAGCAGCATATGAACACGGCACAAATCAATATATAAACCAAAGGAATTCCAATGAAAGAAATCTTTTAACAGACCCAAAGTAACAGATGAACGCATGAAAACATGTGATACAGCTATAAACATTTGGAAATCATAGTTTTTAACTTGCAGATCATGTGATGCACATTTGTGACCATTTTGTGTCTCACCTATTTTACGCAGCTCGATAGACGTGTCAAACTCGTGGCCGGCTGCCATCAGGAGGACCACGTTGTTAATGCCCGAGTGAAGAGTTGGCTCCATCTCGAAAGCTCTTCCATACCTGAGGAAACAATATAGAGACAACAATGATGGGATATACCACTGCACCAACACATAGGGGACAGAAATAATAATTCAATGTAAACATGCAGCAAAAATAATAAAAGAAGGCAAATGTTTAAAACAGCATAAGGCAGCTAAATGTCTCATGAGGTACAGACACACAAACGGGTCGTACCAATAGCACGCCTGGTCCCTGTTGCTCTGATCTGTGAATGCAGAGCTCATGAATATGTCTTTGTAGATGCGTCCACACAGGCAGTAGACATCGGATGCCACCTTGCCCCCCGACTCAACCATGGGCAGAATGGCCTTCAGAGCCTTGGCGCGATCTCCAGGGTGATTCCTCCTGACATGGAATAAAATGTGATCATATGAGTTGAGCTTTGACAGAAACCCTTGATAATTCAAAAAAGATTAATAAAGACTTCAGGGGTGTAATCATAATAATACGTATTTTAAAAAGACAGGAGCCATTTCATCTGTGTTTACCTATAAAACAATAGGAGTCACGTTACCTGCTGAGGGCAAATATGTAGTGAAACTGGATATTCTGATGTCTGGCCACCACACACAAGGGCAGGTCTTTCAGAGTCTCCACCAGATTGATGATGGCATCGTAGCCCTGTGGAGCGAGGGTGTAGAATCACCATGCATTATTTATAATGCTCACTTTTGATGCCATGCAAAATAAAAATGTATTACAAGAGATCCTTTTAAACCTCAGTGGTGTTTTCTATTCACATCTACACAGGATTTTCCAAAGATTTCTCTCTATTTCATATCACTGTAAATATATAAATATAATTCCACAATAATCTCATCAATACAGAGATGCACACACACACACACAAAAATATATATAAATGTCCACATACACACCTGGACGTCCCTGTAGGACAATATCAGGTTCATAACTATATCAGGGGTGAGCAGCTCTACACTGTCCAGGCGTTTCTGTATGTTGCTCAGCTCGTCGCTCAGGGCCTGGCCGCTGAACCGCTCCCGTGCCATACGGATCTCGTGCCTGATCGACTCCCGGAAGTACTCACTGTCAGCATCAAGAGCAGAGAGGTCATATAGCATGCTATACTTTCATGATCCTCCCGGTATGTGCAGGTGCATGTGTAATCTGAGAGGATGGTGGTGGACAGAGCTCGGCTTTAGGTGCCTGACCTGGACTGAATGTGAATGTTGCTCAGCAGATGCACCAGCCTCTCCACCAGCGGCTCAAGTAAAGGCTCCAGCTGGAAAATCGGCTGCATCAGCTCTTTGATGCCGGTCATTATCGTGGCATCACAGGCGAACACTTTACCTTGAGGTGAAACTAAATAAGGGATGAATGTGTAACTTCCACACTGCTCCTGGAGGAAGACAACGCACACGTCACACAGGGACAAACTCACACACATCGGCTGTTCTGCCTCTAATACTTAACATTTTAATTCAGTTAATAACTTGGATACATACAACTGATTTCAAATTATCTTTGGCCTTTATCATCAATAGAAGAATCATCTTCCTCCAGTAGAGGGTCTTTCATGAATTGAGTATTTTAACGGCACAAATTCACAATATCAGAGAGGACACATACATTTTTAAAGGCAACACATTCTGTTTAACACACATAATCATCCCCTCTCATTCTC